TCAGATCATGTTGTAAAAATAAGTAGCAAACCACAATTTATCACTGTGATTTTTACTGTGCTTTAATGAAAGCAAGTTTAATTCTTGCTTAATGGCCTAGTATTGTTTTGAGTAATTGATTTTAGTCTGTTGTATAAATCTAGCCATTTTAATCTATTGAATAAACTCTAGTTTACAGTATTCTAGACCTAGTCAACAATATTATGGTTAATCTATTTATACAGATATTTTATATGTATCAACCACTAGATAGAAACCAGCAAAACACTTTCTTAGGTACAATCCATATGATAAGACAGTGTTTTTAATTATAGTTTACTAATATGAAGTAGATGACTTCCACATTAGTCATGCAATCTTGGAAACAAACATGACTTCCTAAAGAGTTGCAATAGTATTGAGTTTACCATTCCATTTATTTTGAAGCACATCTTTCAGATCACATTCAAAATATTTCACAGCCCTCAAAGCAGTGTTAAATCCAATTCAGATGTCATAATTTAGAAGGTTGAAGGTTCACATGGTAAACTATTGAACTAAAAATAATGATTCAAAGACCATAATTTTAATTTAAATTGGGATACTTTGGTGAATAAAACAAGAAAATAATCTTTGAAATGAGCTCTTTTGTTACTTGTATTTATTTCTCCACATAATCATCACCATTCAATTTTTTTGCTAATGATGGACAAATTTATAAGTTGTCATGAAAGAGCTCCATTCTTTGTCTCTTCATTCAGGTCTTGACAGTCCTCTCCACCTCTTCCTTTGAGTCAGAAAGGAAGTATTTCTTCAGGTTGGGGAAAAAGTAAAAGTCACATGGCATCAAGTCTGCCTAGTGGATGAAATAAGATGGTGGGATCCACATCAGAGGTGGGTTGCTCCCAGTTCAGCCTGATTTGGCCGAACTGGTAGTGGTATTTTGGCCTGGGTCGCAGAACCAGCAACAACCCAGGCTGGCCACACCCCCAAACTGGTTCCCTGGTCCCACTGCCATTGCCGATATGTTGTTTAATAGTGTGCACACATGTGCAGTTCACTGTAAATTGTTTTGCAAAGGGCGCATGAAGTAAACCGGCAGCAAAACCAGGAGCAACCCACCTCTGATCCACATTCACAATTGCATCTTGGGTGGTTTATGAGGTGTGAATCTAGCATTCTCATGTTGCAGCAACAATTCATTCTTGTGCTTCTGAATTCTGCTTAATTGCTTCAAAGTGGCATAGATGGAAAACATATCAGGACATGGTTGAACAAGTAAAGTGTAGAGTTTGTTTGTGATGACTTTAAGACACTTATTCATTTCTGAATATGCATAGGTAGCAAATGGTGGTGATTATATAGAGGAGTACATATAGGTGTCAGTGTTCCGACTAATGCATCCAAAGAAACCAGAACTCCAAGGCTGGAACATTCCTCAGAAAATGTGTTTATTGGACACATCATATCAGCACAGCCAATGAAAACCATGTGGTTACCATGGTTACCATATCATTAAAAGAGCAAACATTTTCTTCCCCGTGTGTCACAGGTCACATTATCCAATCAAAGCAGTTGGCGGGCTCCCTCGACCATTCTGATCCTCCTATTGCCACCTTTTGGGATGACCTTGGTTCCCATGGGAGAGCTCTTTATTTTGTCTACGAGATTGTCTAGCTCAGTAATGGCGCAACTTTTTCTTATGGCGTGCCAAAATTGAGTGCATGTGTGCTAGAAGTTTCTTCCTGAACTTATGGTTGGCTTGTTGGGGTCGTTTTCCTGAAGCCTGGGGAGGGCAAAAACGGTCTAGCCAGCCATCCGGAAGGCCGCAAATCAGTTGGCCAGAGCTAACTGCTGGTGTGCCAGCAAATATGGCTCCGCGTGACAACTATGGCATGCGTGCAATAGGTTCACCATCACGGGTCTAGATATTCCCCCCTCACCCCCCCCCCCCCCAATAGTGTGTGATAACTATGAAGCAGCACAAGATGGCTTCAGCCAGGCTCGATTCAGAGTTGACAATATGGAATGGGGGATGCTCATTTCAATGATTATTTTCCTGTTTCATTTATTAAACTATTCCTATTTAAAGTTATTGGGATAGATACTGTACATTATTTTTCATTTAACCCTCGCACTTGTTCACTATAACATGTAGGAACTTCTGTCTTAATTTAAGAATTTAACTAAGGCTGATAAATTGACAGTCTAAAGTTAATAATGCAAAAGTTAAGGTGATTTTAGATCAGTATTTAGCAGCTAGAGAGTAAGCAACGAGAATTTCCAAGATATAGTATATAGGTTGAGGTTTCTAAAGATCATAACTATTTTTATATTCTATCTATAGCCAGTTTGGTATATTTATAGTTAAATTATGGGCTACATTTTCTAATTTTCTTCTAATAGTTCAGATTATCAATTTTGGTTTATTTAAGCAGCAATAACCAGCTCCTTTTCTCTCTAGTTGTGCCAGGCCAGGAACCCCTGATTAATTGTTAATATGACTGCATCATTGCCCCTTCTAGCCTGAGAAGGGAAGCAGTGATCTTAAGGTGGTCATCAGTTGCATGTTTGATCCACATTTGGCTATTACTGCTTAGGAAAATAGCTTAATATGTTGAACAGGTATTTGGTGGAGGATATGGAATTATGAGTAAATATTTTATATGTCCATTTATAGTCATAGCAATAGCAAGATGATCACTACTTGGAACTATGTATGCTGCATGGGCTGTTCCACATCTCATAAGCTAATATTCTATTTTCAGCCATGATGGTAAAAGCTTATGTGATGTTAACATAAATTTCAGCTTTTGCATATGAGGAGGTTGTACCAGGCTGTCTTTTGCCCATAATAGTAACATTTTTGAGGAACAGCTCTTGCTTTGTAGTTGAAAATGATTTCTATATTGTTGTGCTAGTATTAGAAATTGATATTCCCTATTCAGAAATTTAATTTAGGTTTGATTGCAGTCAATGTAGAGTTTAAAGAAATAACTCAGAAATTTAATTAATTGACTCTTCCATCCATCCATCAATTTCGACAGAGCTTGAAGCCTTATGGCAGTGTTTCTCAACCTTGGGAACCTGACGTTTTGTGGACATGCTGGCTAGGGAATTCAGGGAGTTGAAGTCCACACAATCTAAAGTTTCTAAGGTTGAGAAATGCTGCCTTAAGATTATGTCATTCCATTTGAGAACTTTAGGCAAACTACATTGGATATGTTGTCACTCATGAGATCAGAAGATAGATATATGGTTTATATTAACCATTTTTACGAATAATTCGTTATTATTCCTTCAGATCTCACTTTTTCCCCTTTGGCAAAATTTGTTTTCTTAAAATGTCATATCTGAGAAGGTGGATAGTCTTCACCATAATGAATTGTCTCCTATATTGATAAAGGATCTGTTTTTTAAAAAAACCTTTTAATTTGCTTGTTAACACCCTAACCCTAACCTTGCAGTAGTGGTAATATGGGAGATAGGTAGTACTTCAAGTCACCAGGCTCTAGGCTGTGTAGGACTTTATAGGTGACAACCAGGTCTTTGAATTTCATTCAAAAGCAAACTGGTTAATTATGAAAGAAAATCCAAAGCTATTTGGAAGAGTTTGATTGTAAAATCATTTCATTGCTATTTTTTGTGTGGATAGTAGTTATTTAAAAGGTCTAATCTTGTTCCATCTTCCTCCCAGAAGTTTGAAACTGCATACCTAGGAGTAAATGCAGGTGTTTGTATTCATGTACAGTTCACTTTTAGATCTCTTAAACTTTTGCAATAAAACAGTAACTTAGCCTAATTTATTTTCATTCTTCCCTTTCTCTGTATCTTTAAAAAGCCTATCCTCTGAAAAGGCACTCTTGAGTAGCAGTGCACACTTATCGAAGGTAAAGCTGTCCCTTTCTCAACATGCTTTAAATAGAACAAAGTGTGTAATTTTCATCAACCACTGAAATCACTTGGTATCTCTGTTTAACACACAAGATCTGCTATGTACCTACGAGTCAGAAATAATCCTCCCAGTTTACTATACAAAATGTAAACTTTAATATTTGAAAAATCACTTTACTGCAAAAAAAGAAAAAAGAAAAAAAAGAAAAGCTTGCAGGACCATTCAATTAATACACTATGCTACTTACCTACCATTGTATCATTCATATACATTGCCACAGACAAAGAAATATAAAGAAGGTGTTGGGTTGAAAGGCTTTTTTGTGATGTGTTAGGAACAAACAGATATTCCTTTGTACTGCTGTTTTTATATTAAATACTTTATACTGAACTTATACAAATGAAGCCAGGAGCTGTTTTTACTTTTTTGTTGAGAAATTAGATAAATATTATGTAATTTTGTAGTTCTTAGAATGATGAATATTCTTTAAATTCTGCTGTATATTCTCGTAAGGGACTAGTGAAAAAAGAATTTCAAAGGCCAAAGAGGATTCTTTTGATTTAAGAAGCCACTTCAAGAGTTTGAGTTGGATGATGCATGTTTAAACCATCTGTATAGAATCATAAGTTGGGAAGAACCAAAGAGTTTATTTATTTCTGTGATAATAAAGCCATGTAGTTTAATTGCTGATTAATTTCCATTATTGAATTACTCTGAAAAAACAAAGTTTCTTTTGTACATTAGTCACAATGAAAGTTATTGGCAAAAACTTAAATCTTCCCCACATTATTGGCATCGATTTAAATAGGTTCTGCTATTACACTTGTTTCATAGTAGTTACAAGGTATTTGATATTAGCACTGTGCTCTAACTTTGAAAGCTGCTTTTACTTAAAGTTAGCAGAGTGGTAAACATCCAAAATCTGTTTTGGTACACTGTATATTTTCTCTAAAAGCAGAGGAAATTTGTCCATTACTCATGTATAAACCATGTAAAACATGTAGCAGCTTCAGTATTTAATGTACAAAATGCTTGCTTTTTGATTTAACTATTTTTAGAGACTTTAGAGATAAATATATGGAGGGATGGGAAGCAACAGTATCTTAATATGTTCTCTCTCTTTCAGGTATGGCCTCACAAGTCTTGGTCTATCCATCATATATTTATCAAACTCAGCCAAGTGCCTTTTCTAATGTGAAGAAACTGAAAGTGGAGCCAAGTAGTTGTGTATATCATGAAAGAGCCTACCCACAGCTCTATTTGAATGGTAACAATTTTGGAATCACTCAGCCTCCCAGTAGGGGTGGTACTTTCTTGCAAGCTACAAATATATTTGACAGACCTCAAAGAGAGACTTTTTTGTTGCAGACCAGCACTGTTGGTTTAAAAACTATTGCAGGTGCTACAAAAATCTTAGCAGTGCAGGCACAGCAACCTCAAGTGGAAGCACCTTGGTCTGGGACACAGGAAAGTGAGTTGACCATCTTGGACCGTCCCCAGCAATGTGGATTAAAGCGTAAGAGTGAAGAGTTAGAAAACCAGAGTGGCGCAATGCAGATTGTTGATGAACTGCCTATATTGCCTGCTATGTTGCAAACAAACTTGGGGAACCCAATGACAGTTATGACAACTACTGCAGCTTCAAAACCAAATGGTACCGGTGGTGATGGAGATTATCAGTTAGTGCAGCATGAGGTATTATGTTCTGCGAAAAATACTTATGAGGTTCTTGATTTCCTTGGGCGAGGGACTTTTGGTCAAGTCGTAAAGTGCTGGAAAAGAGGGACAAATGAAATAGTGGCAATCAAAATCCTGAAGAACCACCCATCTTACGCACGCCAAGGACAAATAGAAGTGAGCATATTAGGAAGATTAAGTACAGAGAATGCCGACGAGTTTAATTTTGTGAAAGCCTATGAGTGCTTTCAACATCATAACCATACTTGCTTAGTTTTTGAGATGTTGGAACAGAATTTGTATGACTTTCTGAAACAAAACAAATTTAGCCCTCTTCAGCTAAGGGTAATTCGGCCTATTCTGCAACAGGTGGCCACTGCACTGAAAAAACTAAAAAGTCTTGGTTTAATACATGCTGACCTCAAACCAGAAAATATTATGTTGGTGGATCCAGCACGGCAGCCTTACCGAGTTAAGGTAATTGACTTTGGATCTGCTAGTCATGTATCAAAGACAGTCTGTTCAACATACTTGCAATCTCGCTATTACAGGTATGTACCTACTATCTTACACATGAAAAATTTGAATTTTCTACATTGACTTACGTAACTAAATTAGTTTGTTTTCCAGAGTCCAAAATGCATAAGGTTTGGTAAGAATACTTCTTTAAATAGCTTCTAGTTGTATTTGACTAATTAAGTAGAACTTCATTGTTTTCTTATGCATACCGATCCTGAGAAGCACATAATTAGAATAATTATTAGAAATTATACTGGATAATTAAAGAAGTATTAGCTTGTACTCTCTGAATATGTTTTTTCACTTCCAGTGTTGAGAGTATTGTCCACTGGGAAATCTGTAAAACTAAAAATGCTTTATATTTTTTTCACCATCAGCTCCAGTCAGCTTAGATAATAGAGATGGCAGATCATGAAGTGATAGTTGGCAGCTAGCCTTGATGAGTCTGCTTATGCACCATGTAAAAACTTGACATTACATTGTATGAACAACATGAACACTGTGAAAAAGGCTATGTACAAGTGGAAACAATTAAGTACATATTCCGAGATTATCTGTCTGGGGAAATGAAGCACACTCAGGGCTGATCAACACATTATTTACAGATAGCAAAATGATTTCTAATTTGTTCTGAGATTTTGGGAAAGTTTCCAATATAGCAAAGGTATTTTGTTCAGATATGTATATAAAGAGCATTTTGGGAACAGCTCCCCCCCCCTTTGGATAAATTCTTGTTTTCTCTGCCTGTATTCCACAAGCTAATGTTTATCAAGCTAACAGGTGGGTGTTCTATAACTTCTTTGCCCCTTTTTATATAATTCCAAAGTTCCTTTGATTAAAAATCAATAACTTGGTTATCCACCATTTCCAACCAGAAAATAATAATAATGCAGTGTTAACTTTTACAAAGGACGTCTAACTTCATTCACCAACTGTAATGCCCATACATGTGACATGGTCCTGCTCAGTTTGCTTCATCATGCTCCTTCTTATAGCTCTCATCACTCCAAGACAAAAACTGTCTATCCTGTAATCATTCATTTCTTCTGGACTAAAGGAATCCTAATACAAAAAGCAGAAATTGTAATTATTTTAATTCCCTTACCCATTCTCTGTTATGATATGTTAATCACTGGGACTCAGTTGGAAAGCAGTAAATGGTACCAGGTCATAGAGAAGTGTAGTCAGACAGAAAATGAAAATCAGGAATGGGACAAGCAAGATAAACGTCTGATACAAATGTAGCTCCAGCACCTGTATTCTGAAGTTGAAGGTTTTTCTGTTTATGAATGCAGGATCGTCTCTTGGTTCCAGCTGCTCATTAAATGGTTGGAAAGGCTCTACAGTGATCCAAATTCCAAAGAGGAAAGGTAATTAAGAGATTGTATGGGTGTGTAGATTGCACCTGTTGACATCCCCTTCAAAAAGTCTCATTTAAGAAGGTGTCAACAAGTGTGTATGTGTACCAATACATGCTCAGAATTACTTTTTCTCCTTTGGAGTCTGGATCACTGTGCAGCTGATGGATTAACTGGTTAGAGAGGTTACTGTAAGTAAGGACTTGTATTTGAGTAGACCCGTTACTGCTGAGGAACCTCTTTTCAAACCCAAGCATCCTGATCTCCCAGCCTTCTGTTTCTGGATTTTCTTGTGGAGAATGAGGGAAAAAAAGTAACCACCTGGGTCAGTTAGCTAGTGGGTTCTTGCATTACCGTATACCGTAGATACCAGTCATGGCGGACCCTTCTCCATAATTCTGATAGTTATCGATACTCTGCCTCTTTATCTAAGGGAATTTTGGGGGACCTGACACAGGATGGACTTTTAAATGTGTTTTTCAATAGTTTGCAATAGTTTCTGAGTGATTGGATAGAGAAAACACTGTAAGAAAAAACATAAGTAGTCCTTGCTTTATTGATCATTCACACTTATGACAGTGATGAAAAAGTAACTTTACAATCAATCCTCACATTTATGACCTTTGCAGATGTGTAAAGCAAAGGAAAGCTGAAATAAAATTATAAGCAGAATCATGATTTCAGTTAGCCACTAAGTTGTCCTTCACAATTTTGATTGGTAAACGGGGACTAATATAAAGAATCACATTCTGATACTTCCCCTTTTTGAACATATTGCCTGTTTCATATTTGCAGTATTTATCAGCATAATTTATTTGGCCAAAGGTGATTAGATCCCTAAGGAATTTGTCTCCTATGCAGAAGCTCTCAGTGTACATGTAAAGCAACAGAATCATCATCATCATCATCATCATCATCATCATCATCATCATCATCATCATCATCCCAATAAGATGAGGGAGTAAAGAAAATAATGAGGATAAATGATAATATACAGCTGTACTATATCTATGGTCATTGAGTGAAATTTTTACTGGTGAATTTACTGGAGAGTGCGTGTCTTTAACTGAGGAAAGGCTGTTGGTTTTCAGACAGTACTTCAGATAGTAACAAATAGCTTTGAAGAAATGTCATTTGTATCGAATGTATATAATTTCTATGATTGCACTATACAAATGATAATTGACATATAAATGAGGTAAATCACTTATATGGGGGGAAAGGATAGATCCAGCCAATTTTCTGTCATTAGAAATCTATCACTAGATCAGTGTTCTGGCATTATTATTATTGTCAGGTTCCATTGTCTAGCAGTTCCTAAACTTTTTGCCATCACACCTCCCTTATTATATATAATCTTATTGTATATTCCTCCCTTAACAATCCAAATGCCAAATAAATACAATGAAAACGGTAGCATGGAAAAAGTGGATTTCTTGTGACAGTCTTAAGTTTCTTCATTAGTTCTCGTGGACTCTGCCTATCTCTCCTAAAGGGAGGCAGACCTCACAGTTTGGGAAACCATGTCATACGCTAAAAAAGTTTGAAAGCCAATAATTTATAGCAAATTATTTAGCTGGAATGTTATTTTCAGGGGTGGGCTTCAAAAATTGCAGCAAGGGGTTGCTGTTGTTGGGTGGGCGTGCCCATGGTGGACATGGTCTAGTCAGTCTCCTTCACCATGGTGGCTAGGCCCCATTTCCGGACTTCTGGAACTTTTGATAGGCCTTTTTTTTTTGCCCTCCCCAGGCTGTGAAGGCTTTCCGGGAGGGCAAAAACTGCTTACCCCGGGCTCCAGAGTCCCTCCAGAGACTGGAAACAGGCCCATTCCCCCCCAAGCCTCCATGCATTTACCTGGCATGATGAATGGGCTGCATGGAGATTCCTGGGAGGGGGCGTGGCCAGCCAGGGGTGGCATTTGGGGGTTTGCCAAACTGGGCAGAATTCTAGCTAGAGGATTGCCTGAACCCATGCGAACCCCAAGCTGCCCACCCCAGGTTATTTTGTTAAATATTAAATAGAAAAACAGCACGACACTTCTATAGCATTTATTATTTGTATATGCATTCTATATTTACCACCATGGAGTTTCTTCAAAATGTTATTTTAAAAAAATTATTTTTATAATGTAAACCACAATACATTATATTATTTCAATGCAGATTTAAATGCAGTAATGTTTATATAACATGATTAAAATTATTAACATTGTATTTAAAATCTTTAAAATATTGAAATTAAAAAGAAAGTAAAAATTATATCAATATTTAAGATGTTGGTGTTACAGGCATAAAATTATTTATCTTTTCACCCAAAGTTGAGTATAGAGTCTAAGGTAAAAAAGAAAGCACCACTCTAATTCAATGCAGACTACTAATCATATGGTAATATTTTAGAACTAATGTATTAATTCTAAATTTAAGATAGTACTTGTACTTTAAATTAACTACCTATAGTAGTGATAGAACTAGATTTTTAAGCTATAGGGCTCTTTGGGTGTGAGTTTAATTGCTGTTTTGTGGGATCAAATCCTAGAAATAAGGAGAAAAAGCAATATATTAAAGTGTATCTACTATTGTAACTGTAACTTGGAGTGAACTGCTGCCTATATGGTAAAGTAGTATATGATGAATTAATGGAGGGAACTGGAGTTTAAAATGGAGTAAGTTCATGAACTTGGATATCTGTTGAGAGCTAAACAGGAAATGTTTTAGGTATCTCCTTTGAGTTTTGCTGTCAGAGAACAACTTCCAGAAGTTAATCCAGGCTGCAAAAATTATTTCAAACTCCATACATTTTTGTTTAAAGAAATGAACAGCAATAATGGGGCTAGTATTAGGAATTTCTAATTGGTCCAAGATTAGATGAAAAATGATATTATGAAGGGTGATTAATTAGTTGTTTTATTAATTAGGGTGCCATTTTTGTACCTGGTGAAAAGTAATTTTAAAATAAACCAGCAATAATTTCGTTCGTTTGTTTCGTTTATTGGTTTTGTATGCCGCCCACTCCCAAAGGACTCCGGGCGGTTCACAATGAAACGGGGAGGGGATAAATAAGACAATACAAAGAATATTAAAATATACAACAGTCACAAATGAAGCGGGGCTGGATACTTCAACAGCCCCCAGCCTGCCGGAACAGCCAGGACTTGGTAGCTTTACGGAAGGCCGGGAGGGTAGTAAGGGTCCGGATCTGCACGGGGAGCTCGTTCCAGAGGGCCGGAGCAGCCACAGAGAAGGCTCTCCCCCGGGGGGTTGCCAGCCGACATTGGCTGGCAGATGGGACCCGGAGAAGGCCAAGCCTGTGTGATCAAATCGGTCTTTGGGAGGTAATTGGCAGGAGGCGGTCTCTCAGGTACCCAGGTTTGGTCCTTTGAATTGTTGTTCCGTTTTGGAAAAACTTACTCTAAATAGATTAATTTGAGAATGTTTTATGAATAGTCCCACAGATAAGGTAAAATTAGATGTGGGCATTTGTTTAATGTTAATGACAAAATGTAGATGAGAAACAGTGTAAATATAGTATTCTGAACAAAAAAAATCTTTATTTTTTCATCTTTTCACGTGTTGCTATGATTCAGTTAACTTCCATAAACAAACATTTCCTTTTGATTTAGTTGCTCAAGGATTATTCTGAAATACTTTATTTGGGCTTTGGAAATAAAAACAAGA